ACTCTAGGCATAGATTCACTATTTTTCGTGGTCCGCTTGACCAATTAATATCATTTTATTAATTAAGGTTTTAAGTTGAGATAAAAAAGTCAGTGTCACGAGCGGGATTCGAACCCACGACCTTCGGCTCTACCACTTGAGCTATCGTGACTTCAGGCATAGATTTGTCCGAAAAATAAGTATGCTAATATTTATGTACGTATACAAATGCGCTAAGACCTACATAAACCTACAAATTTGGTTTCTAATATGTTAACCTTAAAACTAATTGTTAGGGTTATTAATTAAAGGCTTGGTGAGAATGGTGGCCGAGAGGTTAGGGCGTTTATCTCGTCTTTGACACGCTAGCGGTTCTGTGTTCAAATCCGCACAACCATTGGAATTTTAATTGGTAATATTTATGTAAAAGGTATTCTAAATTCCTCTTCTCTCTCTCTTTCTTTCTATCTTTCTTGTCACTTTCATCTTTCTAGCTTGTCTTTTTCTTCACTGTTATCTTTCTTTTTTTGGTTCTCTTTCTTGCTCTCCCTCTCTATTCCGTATTCTTTGAAATGGTATAAATACGACTGTGGTAGCCCACAGAGATCTTCCGGCTCTCATATTTACCATGTTAGTAGTTCTGGGTTCATGAAATTTTAATTGATATAAGCATCTTCTTTGTGATAGGAATTACTGTTTCTTATTTTATATTTGTTCCAAAGTTCTTTGATTTTGTAGTATAGGGCTCAGGAACGTGAAATTATCTTATTATCTTTATCTTTTATCAATTTTTAATTATAAAAACATAACGAAGTTAGTTTTTTAAATATCAGAATTCGTATTACTTATTGAAAAACGTCTTGTGACTTGTTCATTTTAACATACTATGTACATAAACACCCTTAATTTTATATCTATTTGTATTATGCTTGTGTCCATCTATCCATTGTAGTTTTAACCAAATTTCCTCTACATTTTTCATTATTAAAAGTGCAGCTTTTAAGTAGGAAAAATGAAAATATTAAGTAGGAAATGAATGAAAATATTGTAAAGTGCCTACATGCTAAGCCCAAAGAGTACATAGTCTTAAATTTTTAATGTACTCTGTTAAGTTTCGCATGAAATCTCGTCGGTTAGAGCATGAAGGATTGTTTTTGGGAGTCCAGGTTTTGTTTGATGTCCCCTGATGGTCGGGCGGGGGTTTGGAGGACAGAAAAACCACACAGTGCCGCAACGTTTTCATTCCTGAAAACCGACGTGGGTAGTGGTGTAGATTTGTGGACGAATCTCTATCGAAGGTGACACTTGATCTTCATCGAGGTAGGTTTTCTAACAACACGGCCGAACATTGAAGAAGTATTATCAGTAAAAGATCCCCTTGTGCCAATAATTGTGGACGTGTTTACTTTTGTGCATGATCATTCAAAGCTAAACACATCCAGGATCTTTCCTGATTGGATGTAACGGATTTCTCTGACTTAAACCTATTAATACTACTGACTACTGACTAAATATTAAATACTTTGAGACTGGTCGTCTCAAAAACTAACTGGTGAACGACAGTTAGTAAAGAATTTGCAAGGCTCAAAAATGGCACTGTTCGAAGGATATGAAAATGTTTCACAACTCTGAACGAGCAAATTCAACACCTTATAAATTCATTCCACGTCGAATGAAAGCGGTGATTAAGGCAAGAGAAAGAAATACACTATAGCGAATGAACAATATTTAATCCTTTCCAAGATGTAGTTTGAATAACAATTGTGTATAGTTATTTACAATTTTTTTTATTTCTTATTAAATAAACATGCAATGAACAAAAACTATTAAAAACTATAACGATGCTAAGTTCTTAATCGAAATATTTAAGAGTGGCCGTGGATATTCCTGTCAGTGTGCTATGTGCGTTAGTAAAAATTACAGGGCTGAATTAACCCTGTAATTTTGGGTAAAAAGATTATTTATTCTTGTGCAATCTAATATAATTTGTGATAATTTAAAATATTTTAAAAAAATAGGCAGATAGATATTTCGATGGATACAGATAGTAGAAAAGGAGGCAATTGATTTTTGAGATAGTTTGGATAAAAGATATGGGATATAGTGGGAAAGAAAAGCAAATACATAAATATAATTTAATATTAAATGGAGGAGATATCGGAAGAGAGCGTAAGAGAAAGAGAGATAGATAGATAGATAGATAGAGAGAGAGAGAGAAAGAGAGAGAGAGAGAGAGAGAGAGAGAGAGAGAGAGAGAGAGACGTGATCAAGGATATGTGTGAGTGACTGTCAGAGGATAAAGTTAATAAGTAAGTGATTGAGTGGAAGTAAAGCAAGAATCTGAAAAAATAAAATATAGAAAAAAAGAATGGGTAGTTAGATCGATATATGAAATGGAAGAGGAAAGCGAAAATTTAGATACACAGATAGATTAGTGACCAGAAATTATTGAGTGAAAGAGTGAAAAGGAAGAGGAAGAGAGATAGATAGATAAATTGGTAGATAGATAGATAGATAGATAGATAGATAGATAGATAGAGAGAGAGAGAGAGAGAGAGAGAGAGAGAGAGAGAGAGAGAAGCAAAGTATGAGACTGAAAAAATAAAAATGGAGAAAAGAATTGATAGATAGATGTATGAAATGGAAAAGAAAAGCGAAAATATTTAGATATACATATAGATAGATGAGTGACCCTAAATTTCTGAGTGAAAAACTGATAAGGAAGCGAGCGACAAAGAAAGTGAGAGAGAGAGAGTGAGAGTGACGGTGATCATGGAAATGTGCGATTGACTGTCAGAAGGGAAAGTTAGTAAGTGATTGAGTGGAAGCAAAGTAAGAGACTGAAAATAAAATTGGAGTAAAGAATGGGTAGTTAGATATGTGAAATGGAAAAGAAAAGAGAAAATATTTAGATATACGTAAAGATAGATGAGTGACCCTAAATTACTGAGGGAAGGAATGAAGAGGAAGAGAGAGAGTGAGATTGATAGAGAGAAAAAGAGAGAGAGGGATAGAGAAAGAGGGAGACGGTGATCATGGAAATGTGCGATTGATTGTCAGAGGAGAAAGTTAGTAAGTGATTGAGTGGAAGCAAAATAAGAGACTGAAAAAATTAGAAATGGAGAAAAGAACTGGTAGTTAGATGAAATGGAAAAAAGGAACGAATAGAATTAGACATGCAGATAGAAAGATGAGTGACCTTAAATTATTGAGTGAAGGAGTGAGAGAGGAAGAAAGAGAGAGAGAGTGAGAGAGGGAAAGAGAGTGACTGAGACACTTACGAACAGACAGAAGAACGCATGTCCAAACCAAATGCACGGTAAATTCACTTATAATTTATAATTTGGAAAATTTCGCTTATCATAAAATAAATTTTTAGGTAGGAATCGATTGTACATATATGTATGTTGTATATAAGTATTTTAAATCTGTTATCGCATAAAAAATATTATAAACTTATTGTTCTAATGTCAGGAAACTTTATCTACGTGTGTAAATTTCCGATACAATCAGCATTCATCATTATAACTTTTGTTTTAAATTATGATCAGTGATTAAGACAAGTAGAAAAATTTAGTTCATTTGTACAATTTTCTAGTTTAAATAATGTTCATAATAATACACTCTTCAGGAATATGTAACTGCAACTTAATTTAATTGTTGAACTTTTATTTCAATTTTTTTTAAATTGTTTAATACACAATTTTATGTTTATCCAAAAGGAAAATAAAACTTACTTATCAACAGGAATTCATGAATGCAATGGACGTTAAGCAATACTTATTGCCAAGTTTGAACCAGATTTTTATCCATAACTGACATTCGTTGATTATAAATGCCATCATTAAAGAGGGCAGACGGGCCATTTAATGGATTCGCCTGCGAATGCAAATATCTGTCTTTTACTACCCGACCCCTGTTTCATTAGCTAGCTGCAATCGCGCGAGAACCGAAAGCACAATCGTTAAACTAAAACGATCAGAAAGTCAACAAACTTTTACGGCCGGCCCAATCTATTGAAAAAGCTCGCTTAGAGAGATGTTAATTGATCTTAGGAGAGAAAGAGAGAGAGAGAGAGAGAGAGAGAGAGTGTGAGAGGGAAAGAGAGGTAGACATGGAAATAAATTCATCAGTGTATCCTATTTGCGCCTTCCCTCCTTCATAACGCCCATCCTATACGTTTTCAGAGCAAAAACCGGGAGCAACCTCTAATTAAGTTATATTTTTCTCTGTTGGGGCCACTCATGGCCAAGTTTTTGGCAGCGGAGCATTAACCCGAGTTCACGATCATCCCTGATCTATCGGTGCCAGTACCAAAATCGCTAAATCAATGTTTTCTAGGTTATGCCACCATGAAGGCAACATTAACCAAATCTTTGCCAATTTCATGATGCACGGTAACGTTATTTTTCATCCATTGTAAAGCAACACTAATAATGTAATCGATCTAAAGAAATTTTGTTACTCTTTCTTTGCGTAATTCTTGTACAATCGTGAGGCAGCCAGGTTCAATGACAACCTGGTCATGCTTTTAGTATCGTAACACATTAATACAATTTGAAATAGATTCTCTTCAGAAATATCTTACTATTTGGAACGATGACATAAGCTTCCCAGTTTTATATAATTATTTATACAACAATAGAAAAATTCTGAGGTTGTGTGCTGACCACAAATTATCCTCAAGTTTGTGATAATTCTTTGTGCCATCAAATTGTATAAATAAAATAAATGTAAATAACTTATGTACTTACATGTCCTGACATGTCTTTGTACTTAAAACCTTGTAGAACGAGTATTGCAGTTCAAAATTATTTCCTTTGATTAGTTTCGCTAATTAAAAGAGAACCAGTTTTTCCTATTTATAAAACTTATTTTTAAAGCAATATTCTTGCAAGTATTCCATGATTTTTTGTTGCCAAAGCGAATTGTTATTCCATTTAAAAAATACATCTTTCAATCATCCAAATGGGGTAATAAGAACAAACATTTATTATTAAATATTATATTTATCTCTAATTTATTTTTAACTGTATACAAAAAGAAACATATAACTTGGAAAAGTTACAATAGACAACAAGTAATAAACTATGAAAATATTGATAAACTTCAAAAAAATACACAATTTTTATAAACTACTTTTCGGGGACGTGATCCGTCCGATAAAATAAGTATATATTAACTATGATCCTAAGCTAAACTTGTTTTTTAAATAGCGAAACACAAAAATAAAATATTAAGCTTTGTACAAGGACAAAGTTAAAAGGCGATATAAGAAATAAGCAGTTCATCTCTTATAATTATACTTTCAAATATGTACAATAAATTGGTAAAAGATCATTGTTTTGTCCGTTTTGTGACTAGTGCAATGCGATCAAAAAGCACTTAGCACTTGATATGTTCTGGTAACACAATCACTTGTCTTCTGTCTGAGCAATATAATACACCACGAAGATCACTAAACTAGTTTTTGGGATGGTTGGCAGTTTGTTAGGAACGTGGCGGTGTACCACTGGCAGTGAGGTTGTTCAAGGAGAAAGGTAACTTTGCTTGGCTCTCATCTGACTAGGGGAATAAGAAGGAGGCTTTTTTTCACGTGGGCTCCTCCGTCCCACGGGGGCTAGGACACGTGGAGCTAGAACTGCTCTTGTCCTCTTCCAGATAAAGGGGCGGTCTGCCCTGCAGCCTTTCGGCCGTCACTTTCCCCATGAAAGACCTGATTTCTTCGAAGTAGGATTCTTCTCCTTGAGGCTGTCTCAGAGACAAGAGGCCGCGGTCCGCCCGGTCGTCGAGGATCGTCGGCCCGTCTGCTTCGTGCTTCTTCAAGTGCCGGTCCAAGTTGGTCTGCTGGCCGAAGCACCTATCGCATAGCGGGCATTTGAAAGGCTTCTCTTTGTTGTGGATATTCCGCACGTGGCGCTGAAGATTCGACGATATGCTAAACGACCGCTCGCAGTATTTGCACTTATAGGGCTGCTCTCCTGTGTGTGTCCTCAGATGACGAGTCAGGTTCGCCGATCTAGGGAAAACCTTTCCACAATACTTGCAGGCGTATCTGTCTTTCCCTTTGGAAGGCGAAGTCTCTGGGAAGGATTTCGCCGGGGGTAACGCTTGCGGTCTGGGGTTCAAGAGGAAGGGGTACGGCCGCGGGGGATAAGCCGGCGGCGAGTACTCTCTGTACATGGCCTCTAACATCATGGGGTGAATGGGTTGATGAGGGAAGATCACAGGGTAGGTCGGGCTGGGGCTGTCCTTTTCCCGTTCCGGCGAGGCTATTATCAGGTTCCTGTTTTCGTCTTCCATGTCTCTCCTGACGACACCGCCGCTCTTTTTGTGGTCCACCCTGAGGTCCAAGGGTTGTTCTTCATCCCGTTCGTTCTGGGGCCGTCCGGCAGGCGACATGTGCGGCCCCCGGGTGTTCCGCGACAAGTCGAACGGCATCTCTTCTGCGTGCTCCTCCGGCGTTCCTCCGCACAGGGGATAAACGGCCGCCTGCTTCGGCGAACTCTGACCACTCGCTGGTACCACCATCTTCCTCGGTGATGAGTCTTTCTCCCGCATCCTGTCTCCCGTGAACTGGAGGGGTGACACTCGCTGGTAGGAGCAGTACCACGAGTCCACCACACTCATCCCTCCCTGAAACCAACCAAACAAACATATTACAGAACCTGTTGACATTTTATACAAATCATTAAAGAAAATACAATTCAATTTATTTTAAGAGTATTGGAATTAGGAAATAAAACTTTTAATTAGGCTGCTAATGATCTGTTATTACTGGTGATCCAGACATTTTCTATATAATCTTGTATGGTAAACCGAACTCACGTTTAAAGTTTTATAATCTCTCCACCGAAAATGTTGTTGAAATAATGCTGAAATTAAATTAAAAGTAATTGGCAAATGGCATTTCAGCGGGAAGATCGTCAGAATAACTTACATAAAAGTAATAAAGTCCCGATATGAATTGGATTACATTTTTCAATCTGATAGGTGTTTCTAAACGGCACTGCAAAATGTCGTAAACTTTATCGCGAAGATTCATTAACGGTCTGTGCAAAAGTGCCTCAAGACATGCAAAGAAGCATCCAGGAATCTGGTGCAACGTACTTCATGTCTCGCCAATATGTTCAGATCTTCCTATACCCTTCCCTCTATCACTTATTCATATTTTTTTAAGTATAAATCGAAGACCGGTTTTGATTTGATCGAATCCCGTTTGCTTATTTTCATTGCCACTTTTAGGAGAATCGGGAATACAAATAAAGTAAAATATCTCAATTAACCAGTTTTCGGTTGTTATTAATTTACTCAATCGACCTTTTCAAAGATGGCAAAGGTTTCCTTTTCCTATTTCTAGAAACAAAAGAAAACTTATTTGCGCATTAGAGGTCGATATGAAAAATCTGGCATTTAAACTCTATTGTCTCTGGTTTCAGGGACGGGTCACGGGGCTAGATAATGTCTTATTCATTAGTTATGTCGTTATGTTGAAAATCCTTCATAACGGGCATCATTCTATGTTATTATTCTAATGATTAAGCGCGTTCTCGGAAAAACCTTCGGATATCCTTCCGACATTGTGAAAACAGGCACGTCTCGGATCTGCTCGACGATTGGATTTGAATAATAGATTTAATTTTGTATTATAATCGTATTCAGCATAAAGGATAATTACACGCCTTTTGGTGCAAAATTTTAAAATCCTTCGCAATTGCACGTACCTCGGATACGGCAACAAATCGGCCTGACTTTAACCATGTGCTGATTTTAATTACTACTGAGGAGTTAGCAGTCGATCAGACATTTACGTCAATTTAAAATCGATAAAGCGATGTTTATTATCTCCCTCTTCTTAATTTTACCAGCAAGAACACGAAGTTAATCATCAAACATACAAAGAACAACTGGTCCCTGGGGTGGCTATTAAATACAAATCTTTCTAGTTTAACGGTCTGACATTTGCGGTCTCCGCATGAGTTTGACCGGGACATTAGCACACGAAATATGTGGTCAGTTGGATTAGGTACCGGATTTAAACCGTGTCGCCTGATCATTCGTCATGTCTTACTGATTACTCATGGTCAGCTAAACGCGTCTTAATACACATAGAGTTTCTTAATATTTCCACATGTCAAATCATAAATAGATCTGTTTCTAATTATCAATTTGTAAAATTTAACATTCATGTTGATTCATAGCATTTCTAATATTGCTAATAACTATTCTTAAATTTTTTAAGCGTGGAGATTATTAAAGATGTATAATAGACTGGAGTTTTATTGGTTCCGAATTGGTCAGATTGAACTTGTGCAGAATACATTTCTCCAATTTGATTCTTATTAATTTAAAATTTACAAGGATCCTCATATTTATGAAGCATTTCTAAGGGCATTGAAGTTGCATATATTATGCACTAGAAGACTGGTGTGTGATTTTTTTTTTTTGTATAAGTTGTTAAATAATGGAATAGATTGTTCCTACTTATTAACTTCATTAGGGTTCGTGGTCCGATTGACCCAATAACTTTTTTCAATTAATTAATCTTTATGTAACGTATTGAGATAAAAAAGTCATTTTCATGAGCGGGGTTCAAACCCACGACCCTCCTCTAAATACGCCGTTGCTCTACCACTCGACCTATCGTGACTTCGATCCACTCGGAATTTGATAAGTAAAATGAAGTATATCTTCACGAAAGCTCTCCGTGGCCATTTCATTTATCGCCGAGAATCGAATCCTGATTACACATTTGAAAAATTGCAAAAAGGAGGGAAAAAATCGAACGGTGAGTGAACGGGTTGAGATGGGAAGTAGGTGTCCGAGTGGATCGAAGGTACGATAGCTCAAGTGGTAGAGGAGCGGCGTATTTGTCCGAGGGTCGTGGGTTCGAATCCCGCTCGTAACACTGACTTTTTATCTCAACCAATACCTTACATAAAGACTACTTATTAACATTAATCCAGTTTAAAGTTCCTACTTTTTTCAACGTTTAAGGACCTATTTCATGTAAAACATGGTGATACAAATTACATTATAAATCAGCCTATGCTGCGAATATTAAGACATGCTAATGAATATGAGAATATTGCTTTGCTTAATATATCAGTTCATAACCTAAGAAAAGATGTATTAAACTCTAATCATTAATAGTGGAATTTGTTCCATTTATATAATAATTTTTGGTCTGTTATGTGTTTAGTTTGTAGTATCCAAAATATGTATATATATATATATATATAAATATATATACAGACTGGTTATAGGTATCTACATATTGATAAATAATGAAATAAATAATCCTCATAAAATCCTCATAAAAGTCTCATCGATGTGACAATATATTACAAAGAGACTAAAATCTTTCACATGTGTAATTAAATTTACTTGTATTTTAAAGTTGTCCCTTTCGTTTAGACAGTTCTCTTTATAGTTTATCACTAGGAACGATTTAAATCATACTGATTAGTGGTCTTTTCGGCGTTCGTTTAGTATTGCCCGAGGGCGGCCGAGGCGAAGAAAGCAGGAAAGTGCACAAAGGGAGATTTCGAAGGAGAAGGCAGTTGTGGAACGTATCTTCCATCAGTTGAGCCTAATTGTGGTCTTGTTCATCTCGGACTACACGCCCGTCGACGTCCGGTGACTTTCTACAGATCGCGACCCACACCCAGCGATCTTTCTCGTACATGGGAACAGTCTGCGTTTGGCGATGTGACTGCAATTTCTGACGAAAAACTCATCTTCGTCTCTGTGACCGAGTAATGAAGGGCGATGCGATTAAATAGCATAAATAATCCATTTTCTAAGGTTAACTCGTGATCACATTTTATTCAGGAAAGGTCGTCGAGTTACGCCCACGCGACGACGCCGGAGCCTAGGCGTTCAAGGAGTATTTAATATACCACCTTGTGCGTAAAACCTGAACGTTCTTTTTGGTAAAGTCAAATTAAAACCAACCGTTAGACAATATAACAATAAGAAACACTTCAATCGTGTAAAAGGCGGCAGAATGAAAAATGAGAATATTATATTTTGTCAGGGGTATATTTCCCTGAACAAATTTGCCATGTTTCATGTTCATTTATTTTTTTTCCGGCGTCATGTTGTGTGCCTAGTGTGTCAATATTCATTATTAAAAAATTAATTAAGGTTTTAAGTTGAGATAAAACAGTCAGTGTCACGTGCGGGATTCGAACCCACGACCTTCGGCTTGATACGCCGCTACTCTACCACTTAGGTATCGTGACTTCGATCCCCTTGGGCACTAACTTCCCATCTCAACCGCATGAATAACCTCATGGTACAATTGCCAACCGAAGATACACACATAATTAATTTACAATTTTTGATAAAAATAAATATACCTGGACTATATTCATACATATAATAATAATAAACATAAAATAACCCAGGTCCAACATTAAAGATTGAAGATTGCCAAAACTCGTCTGTCAAGCCGACCAAACTCTAGATTCGTCGACTTTACGGCTATTGCTATTTACTCCGTTTTATTGAGGTAATTGTTAGAAATATAATCTATTTGGTAAAATTGTACTGTTTAATCTAATATTCAAAGGTTGGACAAATCCCAAGTTCTCCGTGGTGGAAATATTTTATTTCATCTTGTCTATTACATAGCGTTTAAGGCTTACGGCCCATCATCAGAGCCTAAACATGAATAACTTCATGGTACAATTGCCAACCGAAGATACACACATAATTAATTTACAATTTTTTATAAAAATAAATATACCTGGATTTTATGTACATATATATATATATTTTTTCCATCCCATTTTGAGGGGGATTTCGTCAAAAACTGTAATAATAACAATAATTTTATTTTAGCCCCTTCATGTGTACAACACATGGTAATGAGATTCTTCACATATGTACCAACTGCCGCTATCCGCCCATATCAGCCTGAGTCTCCACTTATCAGATGGTTATTATTGGTTTTGTACCAATTTGTCAAGCAGGGGAGGCTGGAAAACAGTACCTAATAGTACCATGAGGTTTTCCATGTTTAGGTTCTGATGAAGGGCCATAAGCCCGAAACGACCATGTAAAAGACAAAGTTAAATAAAATATTTCAACTGAGAACGGATGTTTCAACTTTTGGTAATAAATGCTACGAACCTACGAAAAATACGTTTAATTTAAGCAAAAATATTCAATTTATGTAACTATTTTGATTTTTTGTATTTAAATAATTTGTTCCTTATATTTTTCTATATTTGTGATATATCCTCGATTTGAGTTCACGCAGCAGTTAAGCCCATACAAAAGCATCCAAGTGTTCGAGTCAGGATTAAACCGTTATATACAAAAACCAATAGTTTAAATCTCAATTATAGCCTTAACACTAATTAATTAATCTTAATGTAAGGTTTTGGTTGAAATTATAAAGTTATTGTCATGAGCAGGATTCGAACCCACGACCTTCGACTCAATACGCCGCTGCTCTAACCACTTGAGCATCGGGACAAGTGGTTAGAGCAGCGGCGTATTGAGCCGAAGGTCGTGGGTTCGAATCCCGCTTGTGGCACAAACTTTTTCATTTCAACCAAAACCTTACATAAAGATTAATTAATTGCAGGAAGTTATTTGGTCAATCGGACCAGCAAATATAATTGAATTAAATCTAATATATATTTTTATTCCTAATTTCTTGCACAGTCGCATTAGGATTTCAGATAGTTTGATTTTGGAAGTATTAAAAGTGTAGATGTGGCCTCTCAAATAAACACATAAACACTCACACAAATTGTATAGTAGAAATAGTTAATATTGAGTAAGTATATCAGTTGAAAACGACATTTCCGCTCACAAATTGAAATTAGACACTCAGTTTATGAGTGCAGTTTATGTGCACTATCACATTGGTTACAGTCATTTTTAAATTAGTATCCTTAAAACTGAAGCAGAAAAAAAAATAAAAAAAGGTATAGAAATGTATGAAGAAGCCTAAGGAAATATAAATGCCGAGATTTAATTATAAACTATTTTTACTATCTCAGTAGTTAATACTCTTTTAAAACTTTGATTATGATTATCAGGCTTTTTTCGGTGGGAGAGTACATTTCCCTGAACAACTGTGCCATGATCTTCGTTTAATTTTTTCCAATGTTGTGATGTGTGCCTAGTGTGTCAAGTATTCGTTTTCAACTTGCAAACCAGTGGGTCGCTGTATAAAAAATTCCCCTCAATCTAGTCCAAATATCGGGCTAATTATGGTATCGATATTCGATAGAAATGAAGGCGATCCCTCCCTCTCAATTAGACGATTGCGCAACCGAAGCAGAGTCCGTATATCATTACGATAGACGAAATCAGCCGTACACCCGAGTAAGTACTGTAATCAGAGTGAACCCGCTTGTGCAACAAGATACGATCTCCAAGGATAGCCCGAACTCGATACGTTCCGAAACGTGCGCATCGCTCATCCCCGCTTTTCTGCGGAAAATTCCCTTCAAAAAATCCCCTTATCGCGGTCATCATGAAATTAAACGATCTAGGCATGGGCTCACGTTTTTAAAATCAGAGCTCACACACGCTTCTTCTTGTAAATGAACACCTTCCGCGGAGTATGAGATGAAAATCTTCACTTGGGCATTAAAACTCACGGAGCCCATCTCTGTGCGCACTTGCCGTTTTAGAATTTAATTTTTGCCCCCTATCTCGGCTTTTGTCTAGTTGAACACGTACCTCTCCTCGGTGGCACGTTTTTAACAATTTGGCCAATCTCTCTCTTGTACTTACCGAAATGGAGCTTTTTTTGAAAGCACGTGAGCTCACCGGTATTCCAGCGAAGCAGGTGTGAGTGACCGTCGTTTTCTCAAAAATGGAATAGCCGACATTTGTTTAAACCAAGATAAATAAATATTTAAAACTCAGATAAATACTAGCCACCAAAAATATACCTTTCTTGAACCATCACAGCTTATAGCCTAATAATAAAATATGTCTAATAGTAATGTACTATTGTTTATTATTATTTGGAGGTGGTGAGATGCGGTCTGGTGTGATGTAGGTTTTAGAAAAACATTTTCTTTATCGTGCCAACGTTTCGATCTTTATTAAGATCATCTTCAGGGCGCAAAGTGTTTGTTTTCCGTGTAGATGTGTCATTCTTGTCTGTCGTGTTGAAGTTCCATTGTTTATATTAAATACACATACACACACAAACACAAACATCTTGCTTCTGTAATACCTTAAAACAATAAAATATAGTATGTATTTTAACCTTTTTAGATCTGCTGGGTGATGGACTTGTCATATAGTCGTACCAGATCATCCAGGTCTCCCTATTATCGATGGTTTGGCTTATAAAATCCGTCTTTACAATTCACCATCTTCAGTGGTAGATTTTAATTATTTGCTTATATATCTAGCCATATTAATCGGACTGATCAAAAGAGCCCTCATTTTCATTTCTAGTGACTAGCAGATTAAGTGGTTAGGAGACGGACAAACTATAAAACGTGCATTTACAATAGTTATGAAATAAACCATGCTGAAACTAGCTACTTAAACACGTATAAAATTATTCTTTTAGACATTTACTTCTCGCGGTGTTGGGTTACCTTAAAAAAAATTTTTTTTTTTTTCATTTTTAGTCGGTTATGAGTAAAGCCGTCTTAAAGTGTCACAGTGACAGGTTATAGTGGCAGATAGTGCGTAGGGCAGTTTAATAGTCGGGCCCGGCTTTAATGATGTGACATTTACCTCAGTCGACCGGTCCTAACATCTTTTGATAAATCTCTTTTTCCCAAAATGAGCAGCCTGCCGTCGACGGGAATCGTATTCTTATTTATTCGCTCACTCCCTTCGTTACCCGCTTGACAGCTTTTGCCAGTTCCCACGAATAATAGTTAGCTCATTCCCTAAATCATTTTTTAGTACTGTTTTAGCTCGTGGCAACTTAAAAAAACATATAATAGAACTGATATTTTACATAATCGAAACGATATTAATTCTTAAAATGTGGAACTCGTTTTATCGATGATTTAAAAGACCATGAATTTACACGGGATAATTTAGCAAAAAAGTTATAATTTTATTACCATTCTTCAGCAGATTGATAGGTCTTGATCCTGATATATCTTCGATGTTTCATTTCGCCTACATATCGCCTTCATTGGTTGTGTCTGTGCGTTGTCTCTCGTGCTCGTCCCTTTACTAGTGAAAAGTGAAATGAAAGGGAGATTGAGACGAAATTTGAATCAAGGACTATCAAACTGCATATGAACGTTCAAAAACTCCCAAAACAACCAACAATCTTCACAGTTTCTCAATATAATCGGAATATTGAAACATTTGTGCTGGGAAAAATTGTAATAATTGTTTTTTATATATAAGTATAAGTGTACAAATGTCTATAGCGAAGAATTTAATAATGTTATTACTGTAATTATAATATGAAAATTAAAATATTTTATAGGAAAAAATAACTATTATTAAAAATGACTACATTGATTATCGCCAGCCCTCTATGCCTTAGCTTTGAGTTTGGATATTTTATGTACAATGGTAACCAACTCTCTCTTTTCTTTGTACCATTGCCTAGCCTCTTGGTACGTCAGGACCTCGTCAATTGTGGATAAAAAAAGACAAATAATAAACACAAATACACAGAAACAAGTAACAAACAACTGGTTAGCATTTACACAACCCCCAAGAGTACTCGATATTAGAGCTATGGCCTTCTATTCACGCTAATAAATTACATTCATACGTCATACTACATGAACCCTACCCCCAGAGTACTCGATATTCCTCGGAGAAATTAGTGCTATGCCCTTCCATTCACGCTAATAAATTACATTCATACATCATACTACATGCACCCTACCCCTAGAGTACTCGATATTTCACGGGGTATTTGGGGATAAGCTGTCATTCACGCTAATAAATTACGCTCACCCATTCATTCGCACTATTCAGAGTACTCACATTCCTCGGAGTAATTGAAAGTAAAACCTTCCATCTGTGCTAATAAATTACATATAGACATGTCAAATAATTTACTCTACTCAGAGCACCTCAGGATTTAAGATTTAAGATATACCTCGGAGTATACTATTTTCTTTCCTCAAAAACTCTTCAGTCAGTTTAATTAAAATTTTCTGTAAAGAGGTGTAAATGTACGTTCAATCTCTTTTGAGTTCGTGGTCCGATTGACCAAATAACTTCATTCAATTAGTTAGTCCTTATGTAAGGTATTGGTTGAGATAAAAAAGCCAGTGTCACGTATGTTAAACGTGTATGTTAAATAGTGAAGGCTAATAGATTTTTTTAAGGGTAGGTAGCTTACTATAATAAAAATTTGAATTTTGAAAAAGCACTGATTTCTTTTTTCAAATTCTTTATATAAATAATTGTAAAATATATTCTCAAAATTCTAAAATTCGTTAACAAGAACGGTTGGTAGTATTAAGAGAAAGGTGCATTTTTAAGTTTTTAAGGAGAGGCAAAAAAGGAAGAAGTCATAATTCGCACCAAAAATATCTCAATATGACGTTTCAATGGTTTCTTGGGCTCTCTTTCAGGATCATCTCTTTAGAATATGATTAACTATCGATTGCAGATCCTCACAAGAAGCTTATCCAACACATTTTTTTTTGGTTTTTGTTATAACTGATATATTAAGTCTATACTTTGATATTTCACTTTTGAATGTGATCTAACTTGTTTATGAAAAGATGTTATAACATAAGACATTTCAGTAAATGGCGAAATAAACTGGCTAATATTCTAGTAATTGCATCATTTTTTGCAATACAATGGACAACCCGGGATTGCATGTTAATTTTAAGCAGTTTCCCTGGAGATCGAATAGGAGTAAAACAATCCAGTCTATTGCTAAACGCAATGTAAAAACGCATATAAATGTGTGTAAACATTAGATCATAACTTGCCAAATGTTATAAATTTATGTTGTAAGGTTGAAAACAAAGTAGGATTACGGCCAATTATTCATTTTGAACCGGGAATGGAAGTGAGCTATAAATCGTCTACAACTAGGAACGAAACGCGTGCAATAAATCCGTCTCGTTTCGCTCAGAGGTGCCAATTGGCAACCAACCGGGCGTACAAATTTTCCAGCGACAATCGGCCCCATGCCCCATTCACTCGGACAAGTACGTGACCGGAGAGGCGCGTGTCCAACCTTCTCCATCTTTCGCCATAGCCGTAATGAGTCTCCTCGGGAGTTCGACTTTATTAAAAGATCACGGATCGGAGCTCGAGCGACCCCCGTTTCTGAAAAGGGGAAAAAAAACAACTCAGCAACTGGCCAGCATCACGATGGCAATTATCGATATGAGTCGTGACCCCCGCGCAGCTTTCTTTCGGGAATTTCGGGTCGTGTCCGTCCTAGGCGGTGATCCGGGCGGTTTCTGGCCCAGTTTATCTTATCTCTACCAAATATAGACTTCTCGCCGCTTTAGACAGCAGACATTTTAAAAATACTATTTCAACATAAAAAAGGATATTTTAATTTTATAATTTTCCTTCATATAAAAATCATTCTTCTCTATCTACAGTTCAACAAGCTTTTATTGTTCTAAATGTACACCTATGTACAAGAATATTATTGTGTCCCTCTTTTCAATCTTTAAAACTTAATTTTTATCATATGTATTTATAATCTCTTTTTATCCTTTATTAAAAACTAACAATAATAATAAAATACTCTGAATATGATCAATTAGGGTAGCTGGTCTTATCTATTTGTACATTTAAACAATTTTTGTGTAGCAGGGGTTAATCGAGCAATTACGTTTGGCAAGAATAATCAAGTGTGGCGAGAGGCTTAATGAAGCTTCGCTTTTTTGACTGAAGACCGCCGGGGTAAACACCTCTAATGTCAAGACATTCCTTTTTAAATTCGGCGGCAGGTGTACCCTTACATAAAATTATTTTCGTTTATAGTGCTTTCTATAGTTATTCATGTTATTTGTTTACTCTTAAATCTGTCCACAACTGATAAAGGAAATAATTTTAACGAGAAAAGAGTCATACAAGGATAATCATTTTATATTAAAGGACAATAATAACTGAAATTGAATGAGAACACATTCTATCGTCGACCATTTCGAGAAATGTAACCCGTTCAACAGGATTTTGAAAATATTAATAATCTATTATATTTCGTGGTCCGATTGACCAAATAACTTCTTTCAATTAATTAATCTTTATGTAAGTTATTCGTTGAAATGAAAAAGTTAGTGTCACGAGCGGGATTCGAACCCATGACCTTCGGCTCAATAAGCTGCAGCTCTAACCGCGATAGCTCAAGTGGTTAGATCCCTTGCATAAAGATTATTAATAATTTTCGAGTTTAACAAACTTTTACAATATTGAAATTTATGATTTCACTATGTCCATTTACCTGTTATATTTCCGATAGATTCTTCAATTGGTGTCGGTGTAAGAAAAACAAAAGCAAACTTCAAAGAAAATGTGTTTTCTAGAAAAGAATTTGTTCAAAAAATCGAAGACATGCTGTCTGCTGAAAGCACATATGCATAAAAAAGAAAAAAAACAACCTACATTACTATCACAAACTTGAAACAATAAGGTAATTAACACATTATTGAAACACTTCATAAATTATTGGCAAAAGTAAATATCTACAAGTATGCAGGGATTCTTCAATAAATATATGGAGTACAAAACCCAAAAAGATAACTTTTGACCCGTGATCTGTATAGTACAATTTTCTTTATATAATATATCCAAAACCACTAACCATATAAACTTGTACGTCTTTAACATAAAAACTCCACAGAAATAAATTTTTTTACAAACTTTGAAATTCCAAAAAGATTTTATTTTAGTTAGCTTATGGAATCCATGTTAACATTAATATCAATTTATGGTTTCAAGCATAATGAAATTAGAAACTGAATTTACACTAAACTAGATCATTTTACCTCTGTTGATGTTATTTTACCCTGTTCATTTTACATCGGAGATATAACCTCTATCTAGTATAACAAATACCGAATGGCCACTACACCTACACATCTATTCTAAATTTACCGTAAGGATGGATGTTTTTAATTTTTTTTCAAATTAATTTGTGGCTTTATTTGATTTTTACAATAAAATTACAATGCTAAATGCAAATAGTAATTTCGTGCTTGAGCGCGGCAGCGAGTACCTGGGTCCCCTCTTCTGATTTGTGGAGGAAACAGGGTTGTTTTCTTCTACATATTACTGATAGTTTTGTTTAAATAGCGCGTGTTGAGAGTGAATGTATTTATTGTCGAGAATGTGTAGTGTAAGGGGGCGATGGCGGAATATTGAGACCTCAACAACCCCCTTTTTTTATTTTTTTGCAGACCTTTATTCTGGTCATCTTCAGGGGATAAAATGTGGTGCTATTCTTGTCGTGTCGTGTAGGTTTTTGGTGAAAGTTTTGTGTTCACCACAAGAATAGCACCACACCTTATGCGAGTGTGAAATACTTGGTTCAAAATTTCTCATTACATCTTAAATTGTACTTTTTCCAATCAGCATATGTTTTGTATTTACTCAGGCGCTGAAGATGAGCCGAATAAAGGTCGAAACGTCAGCAAAAAATAAAAAACTATCTCATTCGTGACCGCATCTCACGACTTCAACAAATTTTGATACAACCGATCACTAAGAAACACAGTAATTATATCGTTATTAAATAATTGATTTGAAAGAAGAATAGGCAAATTATGGACGGAATTCTGTCATTGAGATCAATAAAAAAGGGCCAAAAAATGAATGTGTAAGAAATGAAAAATAAATGCGTGTTAGGTACGTGAACCCAGTCTTGGTCTAAGTAACTCAAACTTTGTAAGAAAACACCGTAAAATCTAAAAAAAGAAAAGAACTACATGCTATGATCGTAATATCGAATATGACTTGAAAAAAGTAGAAAATCGTTTAAAGTTTTAAAGTTTAGAGTTGCGACATCGAAGTAATTGCCTCCAATGAGCAAGTTTATAGAATTCAAGCACTATAGAAAAGGCCTAGCAGATCTGTCCTCGATGCACATTCATACGAAATTCTCCCTCCAAGGATGCTCACATCCTCACGGTTAACGAGACGGTCATGTACTCCATCTTATAATAATACTCTTCAACCACAATAAAATCGATTTACATTAATCATCCCTCCATCAAAAAGAGCAAGATTACGGCTTAAACA